TGTCAAATAAATAAATAAAATCTTTAAAAAAAAAAAACTAAATTTCACTCTATAAAATACAGAGTATTTTAAATATACTTCTGTGTGTTTGCAGTGAGATCTAGAATTTTAAACATTTACTGAGATGATTTTTTTTTTAATTGCTTATTCTTTCTTGGGGGGATGTAAATTAGGAATAATGCAAGATATCTTTGGAAACGGATACCACCTGCTATAAAATCTGTAAGTATTCTTCAATGTATCCTACTACTTGAATGTAGTAACAGCATTCATTTAAATGGCAACCTTCTAAAGTTTTTAAAGTTTCTGTTTTCTTTCCCCTGTAGTTCACAGAAATAGTTACTAAACTGGTATTAAAGTTTAAGAACAGATCTACAAATTCCCCTAATCAGAAATTTAATTTCCCTTGGATGGTATAGAAATCTGTGCTCAGCTTCTACTGATCATGTTTGTTAAGACGCTTCTTTTAAGTGTCGCTTTGCCTGGCAACCAACTGAGACCTTTTAATAAAGGTTTGGTTTATGGTGTTTTTGCTTTTTTAACTAATTTATGCAGTAATGGTATTTACTTTGAAATTGATATTATTTCCAAGAATATCCTAAAAATGATTTTCACAGTATTAAGATTATTTTTGCTAATTAGGATTTTAGATTTCTTAGTTTGGATGGGAGATTAGATGAAGTAATGTCTTAAAAGTTTCTTCCAAAGTAGAATGAAATATATTTTTAATTTCATGGGATTCCCTGTTTCTAGCATAAATGCGAAGTGAATTTTTTAAACATTCACCAAATATTACCAAGAATTCACTTGAATTCTTCTGTTCATTATTGATATTCAGCAGCAATTCATTTTAGTATTTTTATTCTTTCTTCTCCAGACATTCGATTAAGTAAGATTGGAATGTTCCTCCAGCTTCATTGACTTAAAATAAAGAACTGTAAATTACACTCATCGTTTCAGTGATGTTAGCGGGAATTCTTTCCTGGGAGAGGCTACAGTGTATGACATCTTAGATTGACAGTCTTTATTATTAGTCATTTTGCTATTACTTTTGCCCAAGAAATATGTGTATGTATTTTACATGCACATATATATGAATATTCTACATAACGTTGATCACATATATGTACAGATGAAATACAAATACAACATTCTGAAAAAGCAGTGTTTAAGAAAATTAATTTCCAGACTTAATTCTGAAATATTTTTGGACAACTGTTTTATGCTTTAATTTTCTGTTATAATAAAAATGTATATAAACCATACAAATAAATTTTGCATTACTGTCCACAGCATCTAAAAACCTTTTTGATAGTGACTGGGCTGAAGAAGTAATTATACGTCTTAAGAGAAATGTTGAATTATGTTTTAAGATACAGTTGTTGGTAAATCTGCGGAGCGACTATCCTCAAAGGCAGTGATATTTATTGCAGGCAAATTCTGAACTTGGGGGAATTTGGTCAGTAGGACAAAGAATCTGGCAGAGAGATTTCCCTGGGATCTATACGACCATCAACGCACACCAGTGGTCTGAGACGGTCCAGCCAATCATGGAAGCACTTAGAGGTAGTGTTTCTTCGTGGTTAAGAATTAAATTAGACCTGTTCTCTAAGTGCTGCGATATTGAAGTAAGTCAGTGATGTGTTTTAAAAAATAGATATTTTCTGCTAGGTGAATAGGGCAGCTTTCAAAATTCTTTTGTAAGGATTTGCTATAATCATGCTTCTTCATATTACATGTGAGGATTTGCTGTAACCATACTTCTTCATTTCGTCTTGCCTGAGGTCATATCGGTAGCTAAGGGGCTCACTGTCTCTTAGTTCCAGACTGAAATTGCTCGTCAGTAAAAGGATTTTTTTGCTACTAAAACGAAATCTTGTGATACTGTAATAAGCTCAAGGTATGGGGTGGTTAAGATTGTAAACCCCATGTATTTGAAAGTAGAGACTGTGCTTTGGAGTCTGTTGACCTCGGGCTTTGATAGGGGTTGTCTCCAGCTTCTGGATTTGTAACTAGTCAGTTCAGTACACAGATGCTCAGATGTTTTTTCATTGCTCTGAAAGATCACAAGCCTGTGTGACATAGCACTGATCCCACGATGAAACTGGACCCTGCCTCTCTCTCTCTCTCTTTTCCTGCCCCTGACATTTGCTGGTTCACTCTTTTATAAATTCATATAGTAATCTCTTTTCATGTTGTTCAATCCTTATTTCTTATTGTTACCTCGTTGCTGCTGTTAATACCTGCCTTGACTGTCTGCCTTCCTGCTCTGGAGGAGTCAGTGGGCAGGAATGTTTGAATAACCACTCATTATTCCGGCAAGGGATATCCTCTTTTCAGGGGAGTGGAAGGTGAAGGTTGCTTCTCAGATGTACCTCATTTTTCTTGTGATGGTAAAGCTCTGGCAGCATAAAACAGAACAATGTAAGGGACAAAACAGGAGGCACTTACTTTAAATATGAAGGAAGTGAGCAGGAGTGCAGGGCCATCTGGTGCGTGGGAAGGGAGGAGTGTGGTATAAAGTTGCTCAGGTACAGTAGGGGCAGTTTGGGATTTTCCCACAGGAAACCGCCTTCACCTCTTCACATAAGTCCAGAGGAGAAAAGAGTGTGGTGGTGGATTTTTGTAGTATCTGGTTCAGTCTTAGGATTGTAGCATGAGGGCACAGTCTGCGGGCCATTTCCCAGCGGCCTACAGCAGCGTCATTGGCAGGACTAGGGCTCAGATCTCCTGACCCACGCAGCAGATATTCCCTGTGTACCTTCAGTGGGTGCAGCGGTGTTTCTCCCAGGACCGCCTCTGCCTCCAGCCCCGTTAGATGCAGTACTTCTTTGAAGTCAGTGCTGCGGGCCCCTGGGAGGCTGTGGAGCACAATGTGGGAGAGTTTGGACTCTGGAGCCATACTTCTGGAGTTCACATCCTGGTTCTGCCACTTGAGTGACCCTTCTGTACTTTTCTCATTTATAAAGTGCGATCAGAAGTAGTATTTTCCTTGGGTGGTTAGAAATGAATTAATATGTATAAGCACTTACATATGCTTAATTAATTAATACATATAAGCACTCATCTGTTCACTTGCAATATCTGTGAATATACCTGAGAATTTTACAAATCCCCAGATTCACGAATGGTACCGTATTTTCCTCCATAAGATGAAGCCTGGTGAAGGAAGTCTTATAACACATTTGAATTACTGCTAAATTTGACGTTTTGCTTTTTAATGTATTACAAATTTTCGGTTTCCTAGATTGTTTTAAGAACACTCACATTCTCAGGTTTTTTCCTTTTCTGTTCTGAATTAGTCACAGTCCTACCAGAAAATTGAAAGTGGCTTCAGTGAAGAGAGGCTAGTGAAAGAGCGGTGTCTAAAGGCAGCCAGCAGGGACTGACAAAGCACCCAGGGGCCGGGTGTGGACAGTAGCCATTTTTACTCTAGGCCCAAAGGGAGGAGGCGAGGGACCCACACTGCTGAGGTCACAGAAAGGGGCTGCCCCCAGGAGCTGAGGAGCAGCTTAAGCAAGGCAGGGAGGGCGCAGAGGAAGTACGTTCCCGTGACCCGTGGACCCACTCCCCAGGCGGGAGCACGCAGGTGGCATGGGTGGTGGTGCCCGGACTGCCTGGAACAGAAGGGCAGAGGTGGGTTAGGAAGCGCGGGACGGCCGGCTCATCTGCCCTCTGTCTGCAGCACTAGCACCTGGCAGTTGCTGGTATATAATAAGCATGCTGAGCTATTTTTTACACAACAGAGGGAGCATTCTTTTCGGGTCTCCCCAGGACTTTGTCCCCAGGTGAACCACCACAGATGTTAGGTGCCGGCTCAGTGGATTCCCCTTTCCAGCTTGTCATTCTAATGCATGCCCTCAGGAGGTGACACATTTCACAGATCTTAAGGGTCGCACAGTGACTAGAGTGTCTCTGAGTGGTTACAAGCAGCCCCAGTTGTGTAGCCTCTCACTGACCCTGTGGAACACCCCAAGCCTGTATTTTTGCTTCCTCTGCCCACCAGCTTCCGTCTCCCCGTGTGCTTGCTTCTCTGCCGTGTGCCAGGCCTGCCTCTTTGTGTCTCTTGTTCTACTCCCCATCTCCTCTCAATTCTAAAGATCTGACCAGAGTGCTTGAACTCAGGTTAATATTTTTAAAATATGGTAGGCTTTCCAAGTGGGTATGGTTGTTGGCGCTCACTTGGATTTCCCTTTTCCATTGTTGCTCTTGGTTCTTTTTCACTGAGTGCCCATGACCTTCAGTAAGGGAAAGTTCCCTTACGCTAAGATGTTTTCAAGTCCAGCGTGAGGTCATGTGCTGAGTGGTCGGTAGGAAGAAGGAAGGAGTTGACTGAAGGCATGCAAGGAGGGGCAGTACCGGCTGAGCAGAAGCTGGCGAGGACATCAGCCTCAGTGAGCAGTGAAGAAACGCAATGGAACGTCCACGATCTTTAAGAAATATGAGGGAACAAAGCCAAAGGCTTCGTCCTGGTGATATCGTCAACAAGCACGTCTTCAGCACATACTTCGTTAGAGAGGCTGGGCTCTTTGGCGGGGGGGCGGTATAAAGATATAAAGACAGCCCTCCCCCCATAGAGAAGTTTAGGGATCATTGAGGTGATGGGAGTGGGGAGGGGTGGGGCAGTGTGTTGTAGGTGGTGGAAGCATGTTTGCTAAACAGGTAGTATGAACAATGCTGTGAATTTAGAGAAGGACAGAGATGGCAGTGAACTTCAGTGCCGCAGGAGTTTGTAAACTGACCTAGGAGTCGTAGAGAGCAGACATCACACAACAGCGTAAACCCAAAGCCTGGAGATGAGAAGGTGTGAGACTTTCTGAGAGCCGGGGGCCTAACTGGGAGCAAAGGGTGCCTGAGGAACTTGGTGCAGTTGTCAGGCAATGTCCCAGGAATGGAGAGAGGATTTTCAGTATGGGACTATACTGCACATATATACTGGCCTATTAATTGTGGAAAGTAAAATCCAGAATATTTTTAAGCATGCTGACAGCCAGATGGAGGAGTCCTTATGTTCCTGGAAGAGCAGTGGGCAGGAAGACAGGCTAGCTGGACCTCAGTTCCTACCATTGACTTTTGGTCTCTGCCTCATTTCTGGAATAGTCAGTGTGGGAATGTAAGCCTGGGGAAATCCCACATGTCATCTCTAGGGAGGTTTTGTTGCTGGAATTGTTTGCAGCCCCACCCCCCAATTAGGTTTAGTCATTCAGGATTTGACCTTAGGATTTGAACCCAAATAAAGTCAATAGTTTAGAGCAGACTCAAAAGTTAGTGTTAACAAAAATTCAACTGAGTAAACTTGGAGATCTAATTGGCTTTATTAAGCAGTCCATGAATTGGGCAGCATACCATCCAGCAAGTAGAGGGGAGCTCTGAGGAGCTGTGCATAATGGCGGGTTTTCATGGGAAGGAACTTGGGGCAGGGACGTTACTAGCGAAAGAAAAGCAATGTTCCAGGCCAGGTCACCTTCCCTTAAGGGTAGAGTGGGGAGTCTTCTCCTTTTGGGGGATGGAGGGGGGGCCTCTATGACAGATCACCTGTTCCACAGGCTCGGGAAATTCCCAACTGACCTCTTACGACTGTGTTCCTAGGGGAGGTTGAAACTGTGTTCGGTATGAAGTCCCAGTTTGCTGACTCGGCATTTGGGGCTTATGGTTTTCTTGTTAACAGAAGAGTGCTCTAGTTACAGAGCTTGTTCTGCAGTTCCTAGGTGTGATTCTAGATCAGAGACCCTCCTCAGAAAGGACAACTAATTACCGAAGTAGATAATTTCTGCTCCATTCAGTCCAGTGTTTGTAAGTGGGATTAAAAAAGAAATTTAAGGAAAATTATATACCAAGTGCATAAATATATTTAAATGAAATTTTCTTAGATTTTGGTCTTAATGTGTATTAACTTTTTTCCTTCTTTGTAAATTTCATTGTCCTCCAAGGGAGATTGGCTGTCTGAGAGGAAGTACAAGGAATTGATTGTTTATTCGGCAATATCTGAGCACCTCTTTCATGCCAGGCACGTGTGTCTGCATCTGTAAGCATAGAGACCTTTGGGTCGAGCTAGTCTCGCTTATAAAATGTGGACAAGGCCAATCACATAACTGAATTATGTGTTAAAAACGCCAGCTCTTGGTTCACTGTCTGCCACCCGTCCATTCCCCCCACAGATGCAACGAGGAGAAGGGCCTTTGCCCTGGTCTCTCAAGCCTACACCTCCATCATTGCAGACGACTTCGCTGCCTTTGTCGGGCTCCCCGTGGAAGAGGCCGTGAAAGGTATTTGAGCTCGCTGTTTATGGGGAAGTGTGACTTGTTGGAGCAGGTTGGTTTTGGAATTCAGGCAGTGTTCGTTCCCTGGAAAGGGAAACCTGTGTGGCATCCCCCCCGACCCCCACTGCCTCCAACCCCCAGCCCCCTCCCCCCACCCCCGGCAGGGCCAGGCCCAGAAGCAGGCTGTCGGCAGGCCCAGCAGTGGTGCTGAGGCGGCTGGTGTGAGTGTCCCGCTCAGTGGTGCGAGGAGATACCGTATCCAGACCTAACAGGGCCTCACAATCGCTTTTGCCACCAAATGAGTTCAGGAAAAACTTTTTGGATTTCTGGGTGTGGATAAGAAATTTCAGGTTCTTATGTACTTTTAAAGCACTTTTTACCAGAGGCAGTTAATGATATCCTAGAACACGAGCTTTGCAAAGGAGTACTTTGCCATTTTGATGAAGTTACCATTCAGCTATGTCTGTGTGGTGTGCCCTTGTTGTATGCGATCATTCTGGCTCTTTCCTTATTGGAACCTCTTTGATGTTCCTGTAGTCATTTTTTATCATGGTTCCCAGGGCCTGATCCCTGAGTATTTTCTACTTTTATTCCCAAGAACTTTGATGAAGACTTAAGTTAACAGTGGGCCTGTGAAATGGTGGGGTGCCCTCCCAAGATGATGCCCAGGAAGGGGACTCAGAGCCGCTGTTGACTGGGAGTGGGTGGGGCAGGGAGGGATGTGGTGGGAACAGAGTTACTGAAAGGGACAACGAGGGGGCGGAGTAAGGCATTTGAGACAACTCCATGCAGCTCGATTACTCCCGGTCTTATATATAAGTGGTGGGAAATACCAGATACAAGAAAGTAAAGGATGTACAAATTAGTTGCTTTTGTAAGTATGCCAGGCGAGTAGTATTATATTCATGATTCGGAGCCTAAACTTTGTAACTTCTTTAAATTACTTCTTTTCCTCTGAAAATCAGCATGTTGATAAATGTATTTTCTTAAGAAAATCTTAATTGACCTCATGATTCACATGTAGAAATCCTCATTTCACCCGTACTTGGTAAAGGCAGTCTCCTCCCACGTCCCTTTTCAGCCCATTTTTTTTCCCTCCATATTTCTCACCAGTAACTCCTCTTACCCACTGCTCTCCAGCTGTGCTTTCGCATTTTCATTTCTCAGGTGATGCCCAGACTAGCTCCTCCCCTCGGTAAATTGCTATAGAACATTGTCTGTGCCCATAGCATTGTCTTTGTCTTACCATGGTTGACATTTTTGATTCTCTGACTAAAATGGGAACTCTGTAAAGACCACATCTTGTTCCTCAGTTTCCAAAGCCTACCACAATTTTAGATGCATAGCAGGCAGGTCAGTGAGAGTTCCTGGAGTAAATCAGTACTGTTGCTTACTCACAAACATTTGTTTCGATTCGTCTTGAAGTTGATCCATAGTTCATTACATAATAAATAACATCCCCCCAAGCCGTACTCTTAACTGACTGCTGGGTGGGACTCCTGTACGCTCCCCCCATGCTAACTGCGTGATCTGGGACACATCCCTGGAGTTCTCCAGACTCCGTTCTCCACATCAGTTAGGTGATGGTCCTGTGTCCTTCTTCGAGTAGTGCGATGATGACCTGAGTGATTCCTGTGGAACGGTGCCTGCCGGCCAGGAATCTCTGTGTGAGCTGTGGTTCTTGTCATCGGACTCGCTTTGTCACTACTGATGGAGCAGCTGCAGGTGGTTTCATGTGCGTCCTCCTCAGGACACAGTGTTGTCTTAGTTACACTGACCAGATTAGTACTGTAATGCGCACTTTACAGAAGACCGCTCATCTGCTAGGGATTCTCTCGGCCTGACACAGTAAAATGGCTTTGATCCACGTTTCAGAAATGTTTCAAAAGTAAGTTCACCTGAGAAAGCTGTCTATAATCTACTTTTCTAGAAAAAAAGACACATTGTAGGGTAACCTGCACTTGTCAGATCTTCCATACAAGTAGTATCATTGATAGACTGTGGATCTCGTAGATGAAAATTATAGGAGTTTTTTTGGTTATTTCTCATTTGTGTGTTAAATACACATTTTTTAGGTATATTAGAACAAGGATGGCAAGCGGACTCCACCACAAGAATGGTTATGCCCAAAAAGCCAGGTAGGTGGAGCTCTTCATCCACGTATGCAGCACTGACCTAAGACCACGTCAGGTTCTGAGGCATGCATTTGAGTCATTTGATAATAAGGTTCTTCTGTACTAGCAAATTGAAAGTAACTCAGGTTAAATATAGATGTGGAATGATAGACACGGTAGAAAGGATTTTAAAGATTACCTAGTTTTACCTTAATTTTTAAAAATGTATTTCTTGTATAGAAAACTATTTTATATGGGTTTTTCATAATCCTTATTATGGTTTTTCCTTTATATGGGTTTTTCATCATCCTTGTATAAAAACCTATTTTTTATGGGTTTTTCATAATCCTTATTACATCTTAATTTTTACTAAGTATTAGTCTCCCATTCTTTTATTTATTGGGGCCATTTCTAAGCATGTTTATCCATAATATCTAAACTGTTGCCTTTTAGAAAAATATATCTTATTCAGATACACCCCTTTTCTCCTTGTACTACAGACATGTACACTCTTCTCTGAAATAAGATTTCAGTGGCTTTAACATGCACAAAATTAAGTGTTTTGGCTTAAATTATTTGACCTGCCCTCGTTGTGTCCGTCTGAATTCCCAGTCCCTTGGTACGCCTTCTGCAGTGAGCCGTGCTCATTCCTGCTTGGAGGCCTCTCCTCCTGCTTGGCAGGAATGTCCTTTTCTGCCAGGTCCTTGGAGCTGAGCTTAATGCCCACATCTGTGAGCCCTCCTCCTTCAACCCAAAGTTCCTTCCACCTGCCCTGAATTCCTGTTGTTTAGACATTGTTGGTGCCACAGTAAAGAATTACTCAAATTTCAATGGGCTCTACCCTGTGAAGGTACAGGAAGTGGTTAGACATGGTCCCAGCAAGTCTAGCTGCTGAGAGAAAACTGCTGTGGTGAGAAGACTCATGTAATCATACAGAGCATAATTGTTAACTCTGTTTGAGAAGTAGCAAATGGTCATAAATGCCATTGTGTTAAAAACGACATGTTCTGTGTGAAAGTTCTTTATGATGACTCCTATAAATTGTGCTGTTAATTTTACTTAGTTGCAGGGGCCCTGGATGTGTCCTTTAACCGGTTTATTCCTTTATCAGGTATGTATTTTTATATGCTCATTTAAAACTTGTTTCATTATTCTTTATTTCTCTTTTGTCGTGTGTCTCTTTTTTTCTTAGCTCTAACCTTCTAAACGAAGAGGTTAAATTCTATACTTGCTGTTTATGATAACATATTTGGTTACAAGAGAGAACGTGTGGGTTCCCCTCTGGAGCTTACCTTGACGCCGGGGCACCTTCTGGCCCGGCCACAGAGCCGCATTGGTGTTGTGTAGGGAAGCCGTGATAGAGCTGCTCACCAGCATTTACTCAGATGGCATCCCTAGGCGGACGTGCAAACTTAAAAGCTAGAACTGAATTCCTGGATGATGGGGTTCTTTGCGGGGCTTTTTTTGTTCACTGACAGTTTAATAGAGCAGTGCCTGGCACACGGTCAATACTGGGTAATTCTTCATTGAATTCTGTGTCACATGGGTAGGTGTCCTTCCAACAAGAGCTGTGCTCTCCTAAGAGGGTTGTTTCATGTTAACTTGGAAACTTCAGCAAAGCCAGACATGCCTTTACTCCCAGTTTAGGAAAACTACTCATCAAAGTTGAGACTTCTTTGCTTGTTTTTCAAAAATGTCCAAAATCAATAAGAAAGTTTCCTTATTGTTCAGTTAACAGGCATTGGAGGGTGTGGGTGGCAGGGCCCACGCGCCGTTACACGGGGATCTAACCTTAGTCTCTCTCTGTATTTCACACGCAGAGCCTGCCCCAGTGCCCCCGATCCCCAATGAACAGCAGTTAGCCAGACTGACCGATTATGTGGCTTTCCTCGAAAACTGATGTATCATTCTGAGTCCAAGATCCACCTTCAGAATCCTGTATACTGACAGATAGAGAAATGTAAAATTTTTATTTTCAATTTATTGGATGGATAAAGCACCTCAGCATTCCTTACTGAGTATGTGATAAAATACATATATAAAGTATATTATATATATTTTGTCCTTAAACATTATGCTGAATAGTTGTTGAAACAATTCTCATTTTGTAATATTTGACAATTTGGATGGAGCCCGTCAGTATTATGCAGTTTATATTTCCTAGTACAGCTCTCCTGCTTCATGGAGGTCAGTGGCTGTCAGCTGTTTGTCCCTGCCCCAGCGCCCAGCACACTCCCATCTGCACCGATTGTTGATACTTAGAACGATTCATTTGGGGTTTGAGGAGGACCGTCCCCAGAGCCAGTATCTGAGCTGCTGGGGCTTCTGATGCACCCCCTTCAGAGAATATGCTCTCCTTTCTCCTCACCTCCTGAACATCACTCCTACAGAATGCTGAAATGCAGCTGAGGAACCAAAGACCATTTCCTCAGTAAACCAGTTTGTGAACTTCAGATTTTTTCCTGATAGTGTGAGTACATCCATTGCTGGCAGTGGAGGGCTTGCCATGAAAATGCAACTATTTAAGACCTTCAGGAGAAGTATTAGATGTAATGTTCCTTTCGGAAGAAGGGAAACTTAGGGTGGAATGCATTCTATCAGTAAAGAAGCTATTAAGATAAGTGATCCACTTTGTACAACTATACTGCAACTTACTGGTTACTTATATTTATCCTTTGGTTCAAGGTCTGCCTTTTGGAGAAACACTGAACAAGTCTTTCAGTTTTTGTGTGATGCCCTCTAAATATTTGGAGGTGTTTATTGTATCTTCAGGTTAGAAGCCCCCCTGCTTCATTTATTCTGCATTTGTTCAATAAATATTTAATTGCATCAACTGTTTCATCTGAGAGAGTTTCTAGACATTTCACTCTCCTGGTCTTTCTGTGGATACATTCTAGTTTGTCACTGTCTCTCAAGATATGAATTTCCTAATTAAATAGAAATGACGTATATAGTGGTGATTACATGATTCATGTTTTCACTCATTTTAAACACATTTTTCAGTTACTGTTAACATTTATGGAAATACCTTTTAAATTAACATTTTATTAAACTCCGATGTATAAGTCATGTTGTTAAAACTCCCTTGTTTTACAGTTGAGGAAATGGAAATTCAAGAAGCAAGAGGATCAGTAGCTAGAAAGTGATGATGCCAGTTGTTGAACTTCCAGGTATTAAGTACAAATTGTATCCATGGGCCTGATTTTTAGTAGGTTGGAATCAGTCCGAATGTTCATTAACTGGGGACGAGGTGACTAAATGGTGTGCAGTGCCGTGCAGCCCTGGAGGCGTGAGTACGAGAGAGAAGGTCTCTGGACGGAATGAGGTGAAACCAGACGAAGTAGAAGGTTAGACTGTTGCTTCGAGGGTGAGAAAGGCTATATGGGTACACGTGCAGCTGTACATGCTGGTATTTCAGAAAAACAGTCGAAGGATCAGCCAAAAGCTAGTAAAAATGATTCTCTACAGGGAAAGAGGAGGAGGTCAGTGAACTTCACACAGTGAAACAGGAATTATTTCAAGTGACTCGATCACAGTATTTTGATTCTGCATTGTCACTGGGATATATACTGAGGACACAAAGATCTCAGCCTACTGAATATGGTTTCATGGCTAATTTCAAAAAACTACCTTGATACCATCACTATTATTAAAAGTATATTTTAGGATAAAACAGTTTAGAAATGAGGTAATCTTGTTAGAACCTAGTAATCTTAAATATCACATAGAAACCTTAAATGATTGAGCGCCTGGGTGGCTCAGTTGGTTAAGCGTCTGCCTTCGGCTCAGGTCATGATCCTGGAGTCCTGGGATCGAGTCCCGCATCGGGCTCCCTGCTCAGCGGGGAGTCTGCTTCTCCCTCTGACCCTCCCCCGTCTCATGTGCTCTCTCATTCTCTCTCTCTCAAATAAATAAAATCTTCAAAAAAAAAAAAAAACCTTAAATGATTTATTTTTCTTTCTAAATAATAAATAGTTCCTGGCTCTGTCCAACTAAAAAGGCCTAGAGTAATTACAACCCAGCACCAATGAGAACCAATAGTGCCCAGATTGTGGTCTCTAAACTTGTTTCAACTAAGCGGAATCAGAACTTATTTTCAAAGTAGGTACAAGGTGGGGCACCCGGTGACTGAATCGTTAAGCGTCTGCCGTTGGCTAAGGTCATGATCTCAGGGTCCTGGGATCAAGCCGTGCGTTGGGCTCCCTGCTCAGCGGGGAGCCTGCTTCTCCCTCTCCTACTCCCCCCTGCTTGTGTTCCCTCTCTCGCTGTGTCTCTCTCTGTCAAATAAATAAATAAAATCTTTAAAAAAAAAAAAAAAGGTAGGGACAAGTCTGGGGAAATAATTGTACAGGTTGATCCCCAGTACAAGATGTCCCAGGTTCAGGAATGTTTCAAAGTCTCGTAGGGTTCTTTCAGAAGTTCATAGAAGCTGACTTGAAGGAGCTCCCACTGGTCGAACATGAGACAAATTGAGCATGAAAAATCTGTGTGTCTATATTTTTAATCCCAAGTTCATAATTACAATACTAAGATAACCTCATCTTTGTACAGGAAATTCGGGATGTGCTTGATTCCATCTTCCCCGTATTTATTTATCAATCTTAAGAATAAATGAATTGATGCCCTAGTGATGTCCAAAGTAACAAAATTGAACCTGCGAAGTAATCAAACAACTGGTGGTAGAAAATTCTTTCTAGAAGGATTCCACCTAGTGCAGATAGAAGTAGAAAATCTGTACGTTGTAGTACTTTGCCTCAAGGATCTAGGAAGGAAGCATCAGTGGCTGCTTGGACCACGGGCTGAGAAAACGAGAGCATATAGCCAGCCCATCCCTGTGCCCTGGTACCTGCTGAGACTCCCACCTGCATGCAGGTGTAGCCCGACGGCAGCCTGCTTTTGATGCATTGACTGCAACTGCCGTGTTTGCTCTGGGGCTTACCCTGACAACGCCACAGGGGTTGCCCACACAAACCTGGGTAAGGGGGAGCTAGCCCCTGAGCAGCCCTTCAGCAGATGGAGGCCTGATCCAGGGAATAACACTGCCTTCCATGTCTTGAGAAGACAGTTTCAGGTCTGGAATTGTAGGCCTGGTTCCTGAAAAAAGACCACAGCCAGACTGAGCTGTGGTTGCCCATTGTGACCAGTCTGCAGTGCCGTGGATTGCTAGCTCCCCCTTCCTGTTTATCTCTACCCAGTGCCCCTCTGTGTTTCCTGGGATCGAGAGACTTGGCCCATCTGCACATAAGTTGAAAGCACCTGAATCCGTGTGTCTTTAACCTCACTCACAGTGGGACGTATGTGTACCAGGAAGGCATGGTAAGCATACAGCCTCCACCATGAGGTTTTTTGTCAAAACAAACTCCCCTTCCCCAAAATGAATGTGAATCTAACCAAGATTGTAGACTTAACTGCCCATTTCCATTAAACATGGGTATTAGGTGAACAAGTTAAACACCCCACTAAGAAGCAATCAGCCTGATCTAGAATGTGGGGGATTTAACAGGACAAAAAAGTGAGTTTCCTTCAAAAATGAATGAGAATAATCAGAGGGTGGTAGAGTTGGCGGTGAGCATCGGAAGATCTCTGCTCCTGGGTGGAAGAACTTTGAGGCCGACTCCAGTCGTCAAGAACTACAAACAGGTGGCTGCGTGGGAAGGAACATGCTTACGGGCATCAAGGAGCTCCTCAAGAGACAAGGCCCGAGGGGTGCATGTTGAAGGGAGTAGAGAACACAGGGGGCCTTATGGCGCGGCCTTCGGGGGGTGGCTGCGGGTCGGGGCCAGGTCCCTTGCTGGGGGCCTACCACCTGGGGGACGGGCATTTGAAAGGGCTAAACCACACAGCTGTGTAACCTCAAAGCATCTGGTGAACTTTTAGTCTGCTTTGGGTAGGAAGAAGTGAGGCCAAGTCCAAAAAAAAACCTTTGGAAACAGCTTAGTTTTCCTCCGGTCTTGCTGTGCTGGGCTCCAGTTAACAGGTGGGGTGGCGGGGAACGGGGGTGCCTATCAGCAGAGAGCAGTTGAACAGTTAGTTAAGCTGCTGGAGGACAGGTCAGCGGAACATGTTCTATTGGAAACCGAAAGTAAACAACGGAACTTACTGGAAGCAGTGTTGGAGACATTGAGTCACAGCAAAGAGGTCTACGATGTGTGCAGTGGAAATCCAAGGAATAGAAAATAAAGCAGGAAAACAATCCTTGGAAGGACTGGCCAAGAACCTTCCAAGACTGATGAAAGAAATGAAGCCACAGGTTCAGAAATCTCAGAAAACCCCGCACAGGATGAATACAAAACAAAAACCCCTCACACCCTGACACCTGCTAGGAAACTACCAAAAGTGAAAGCAAACATGTTAAAAGCATGGAGGGGGGTAACCGGGGAGGGGGGAGTAGGGGGGAATTTCTCTTCAGAAAAGCAACAGCAAAGCCAGAGGATAATAAAATGGCTTTTTTTTTTTTTTTTTTTTTTTTAAGTGTTGAAAGAAAAAAGTCCTGACTGCCATTTATAAGACACGCTCTTACTTTCGGCCCTCCTGTGTTAAGTTTAAAAGTTGGAGAAGGTACATCGGTGCAAACACCATTGAAAAGCAAGCAGGTGCTGCTTTGGTGATGACACACAGTCGGCCTGAAGGCAAGAAGCGCTCTCTGAGATGGAGAAGCACGTTTTGTGGACAAGGTTTCCCATTGCTGCCCTGGGTTACCACAAACCTGATGGCTTCCAACAACACTGACAGCTGGTAGTTGAGTGTGAGCTGGGTCTGTCTGGACCAGTGGCAGGTGTCAACAGGACTGCTGCCTTCCCGTCCGGAGGCCCCGGGGACAGTCTGTTTCCTCGCCCCGTCCAGCTTCCGCAGGCCGCCCGCACACCTTGGCTCCTGGCCTTGCCTCCATTTTCACAACCAGCAGTGCTGGGCCAGGTCCTTTGTACGCTGCCACCCTCCGGGGCTCACCTCTGCCTCCCCCTTGCACGAAAGACCCCTGTGATTATGTTGGTCCCACCTGGCAATCCAGGACAAGCTCCCTATTTTAAGATAGGCTGATGAGTGACCTTTCTTCTGTCTGCTCTCTTAATTTCCCTTTCATGTGACTGAACGTATTCACGGGTTCCAGGGTTTCGGACATCTGCATCTTTGGGGACCAATCATCTTCCCACTACAGTAGACAACAGGATTATGTGATTCTAAATCTATAAAAAATGAAATATAATAAAAGTTAACAACTGAGAGTCCTCTACAGTTGGGGCATTGGGGTGGGAGGTGCCCTACCAGACATTAACACATAATCTAAAGCCCCTTATTAAAAAATCATGGCACGAGCATGAACAGTAGCTAGAGGAATAAACTAGAGAGATGAGAAATAGACTCGAATACATACAGGAATGTACCTACCGTATGATACAGATGGCATCTCAGGTCACTGAGGTTAAGGTGGACTTTTAAAGATCTTATTTATTTGCGAGAGAGAATGAGATAGAGCATGAGAGGGGGGAGGGTCAGCGGGAGAGGCAGACTCCCTGCCGAGCAGGGAGCCCGATGCAGGACTCGATCCCGGGACTCCAGGATCATGACCTGAGCCGAAGGCAGTCGCCCAACCAACTGAGCCACCCAGGCGCCCTAAGGTGGACTTTTAAACAAATGGCTCTGGGAAAATTGATTAGCCTTTGGAAAAATAAATCCATTAGAATAAAATCCAGATAGATCAGGGATCTTAATGTGAAAGAATGAAACCATGCCAGTCCTAGAACTTGGGCAAAGGAAAGGCTTCTGTGTCTCAGAATTCTAGCTGTTGAAGAGTCCAATTTGACTACTTACAAATGTTGCAAATTATAAAGATAC